CGAACTCACGGACCGCGAGATCGTGACCTGGCTGAAGTCGGACGCTTAACCGACTGCGCCACCCAGGCGCCCCGATAACAAATTTTTTTAAAAACTTACAAAATAAGTAGAAACTGAAAAGATAGAACATGGTTAAATATGATATTGTCTGATCAGTGCTTTAGAAGAGGCATTAACTGTGCTATGGCATTGGTTTTCCCTAGACCATTAGCAGCAACATCACCTGGGAACTTACTAGAAATGCAAATTCTTGGGCCCTACCCTAGACCTATGGAGTCAGAAACTAAAGGTGACACAGCGATTTGTTTAAGTTTTCCATGTGATTGCTGCATGCTAAAGTTTGAGGACCACTGTGCTTTGGGAACGGAGGGAAGAAGTGATCACACTCTACTGTAATTCTTGTATAATTGTCCTCTCTACTATACAGCAGGGGGAGGGAACCATATTTAGGTTTGTTTTCTACAGCATTTAACACAATTATCTGGTACCGATTTGGGATTCCATGAACACTTAATTGATTAAATGACCAGTTAGATGCTTATTTCTGGAGTCCAGACACAAGATGATAAGGACAATAATTAGAGCTGTGGCCACAGGAAAGGAGAGAAGGAAGAGATCTAAGAACTATTTCAGGTTATAGAATTCATAGGATATGGTAACTGTGGATGTAGAAGTAAAAAAAAAGGCCTAGTCCAGGAACACACAGATTTTTAGCTTGAGTAACTGGTGATGTCATTAACACTATAGATTTTAGAAGACAGTAACTTTGGTCTGTGTAGGTTTTGAGGCAATTGGAAATAACAGTCTAGCTCTAAGGTAAGTTTGGGACTAGAGTTAAAGAGTCAATCGTGTCTGCATCAGTTCTCAGTTGAGGCTGAGAATCACCTGGCAGTATTTCAGAACATTTCCAGTGCATAACCCCACTCTAGACCAATTAAATCAGAATCTCTAGGGGCACCTGGGTGGCTCAGTCAGTTAAGCATCTGACCCTTGGTTTCGGCTCAGGTCATGATCTCATGGTTTGTGAGTTCAAGCCCCGCATCGGGCTCTGTGCTGACAGTGCAGAGCCTGCTTGGGATTCTCTCTCTCCCTCTCTCTCTGCCCCTCCCCCGCTCGCTTTCTCTGTCTCTCAAAATAAATAAAAATTAAAAAAAAAAATCTCTGAGGAATGGTGCCCAGGAATCAGTACTTTTTAAAAAACCTTCTAGAGGATGACTCCACTGTGCATTGGGGCTCACTGGTAAAGGTTAAGGAAGTCATGAAGAACCAGAAAGACAGAGGTTTTCAGTCAGAATCTGGAGGGATGCCAACATTTAAGAGTAAATTGAGGAAGAAAGGCAGCAAGGATATGGAGTCTTTTGGTCTTTGGTGCCCTACTTCTCTATTGTAAGATTCTAGTGTTGGATCCACATGATTTTTGGGCATAACTATGTTTCCAGTAGAACCTGAATTATCTGCTTCTCCGGTTTCTGGGAATTTGCAGCAATTCCCTTGCCTCACATTTCCCTATCACTAACAAACTGATCTATACAAATAAGATTTTCTAGTAGCCTATAAATCATTCTTTTTTTTTTTTAATTTTTTTTAATGTTTATTTATTTTTGAGAGAGGGGCGACAAAGTGTGAACAGGGGAGGAGCAGAGAAAGGGAGACATAGAATCCGAAGCAGTCTCTGAGCTGTCAGCACAGAGCCTGATGTGGGGCTCAAACTCACAAACTGTGAGATCATGACCTGAGCCAAAGTCAGACGCTCAACCAACAGGCACCCAGGCGCCCTAAATCATTCTTAATATGAAACAACAGGAGCCTGGGAGAGGATCCCATAGGACACTGGTTCCCAAGTCTATTCACATTTGTAATTTACCCAAAGCTCACATCTTTTCAAGTTCATGTTCAATGTATTATTGTTATCTTGGGCTTTGTGGTATAACATAGCAGCAAAAAATAGGGTTTCCTGCTGGGCAGAAGTAGCTGGTGGTTTCTCTTATTTTGATTTCCTTTTTCCTCTATCCCCCTTCTTCCACTTAACCTCCTTATCTCCAATTGTGTTTGTGACTGACTTTTTACCTGTAGTAAAAGGCCAGGGTGAGCAGGAAGGGGGCCATGTAAACAGTGCCAGGAATGGAGGGCAGCAGCAGATGCCTCCAGACCTCCTGAGGACCAACTGGGGATGGGTTGAGAGGGAGCAACAAATTACAGATTGGAGCCACAGCTCTCAGGAGCCTGGGGATGGGTAGCTTATAGAAGCCTGATGTCTTTGTGGGAGAACAAAGAGGTGAGTTTGAGTTAGATATATTTTAAATCCAACAAGAGGAGCTGCATTGCAAGGAATTGGGTGGGTGGGCAGGAGAAAACAGATGGAGCTCAATTTTATGGACCCTTAACGATTAATAAAACATAGTTTCTGCCTTCAGAGGCTGTCAGTCTAATGAGGGAGATGTCTGTATAAATAATAAAATGGCAGAATGAAATAACTGCTAAATAGGTATACAATAAAATAAATGATATTCTCTAAAAAGATGAGAAACCTTTTTGGAGAGGTGGCATGTAGGTTTGGCATGAAAAAGATGAGGGAAAATTTCACTCAGAAGGTTGGCAACTGGGGGTGCCTGGGTGGCTCAGTTAAGCATCTGACTTGGGCTCAGGTCATGATCTCACAGTCTGTGGGTTCAAGCCCCGCGTCGGACTCTGTGCCGACAGCTTGGCGCCTGGAGCCTGTTTCACATTCTGTGTCTCTCTCTCTGCCCCTCCCCTACTCGTGCTCACTTGTTCTCTTTCTCTCTATCAAAAATAAACATTGAAAGAAAGATTTAAGAAGGTTGGCAACTGGAAGTAGCAGTGGCATTCTAGGCTGAGAAAGCAGCTTGAGTAAAGACTTGGTATCAGCGTGTTCAGGGAGTAGTCTGTAAAGTAGTGTGGTTAGAGCATGTGTACGTGGAAAATGATGGGTGAAGCTGTTATTTAATGTTCCCATTTGTATCATTAGTGTATCATTGAGCCTCTTCTTTCCCCAAGTAGGCCCAGGGATCTCTCAGGCCTCCAGACTTCAGCTGTATCAATCAGTTAATGCGATGGGATGGCTTTTGCAACTAAGGAACATGTAGGAATCACCCCCTGGTGATTTATTTTTTCCTACTACAAATGACTTATTCCATCTGAAGATTCTGAAATGATCCCTTGGTTGAAAATCACTGCCATAGAGAGCCACTCCTTTTTTTTTTTTTTTTTTTTTTGAGTTAATTTATTTTGAAAGAGAGAATGTGAGCGAGGAAGGGTCAGACAAGGAGAAAGAGAGAATCCCAAGCAAGGCTCTGCACTGTTAGCCCGCAGCAGGGTTTATTTATTTATTTTTTTTAATTTTTTTTTAACCTTTATTTATTTTTGAGACAGAGAGAGACAGAGCATGAATGGGAGAGGGGCAGAGAGAGAGGGAGACACAGAATCGGAAGCAGGCTCCAGGCTCTGAGCCATCAGCCCAGAGCCCGACGCGGGGCTCGAACTCATGGACCGCGAGATCGTGACCTGAGCCGAAGTCGGACGCTTAACCGACTGAGCCACCCAGGCGCCCCGACGCAGCAGGGTTTAAACTCACAAACCGTGAGGTCATGACCTGACCCGAAACCAGGAGTCTGATGCTTAACTCACTGAGCTACCCAGGCAGTGTTCTTACAGGACTCTGTCACATCCCTTAGGTGTGCTGTGGTAGAAAAAGATTGAAAACATAACCTTGACCATAAACTTCCCAAGAGCAAGGACTATGTAATTACTTTTTTATATCCCACAAATTCCTGTTTGGGGTCTCTGTAAGTAGGCAGTTAATGCTATATAACCACCATTTCACATAATTTTTATAGACACCAGTTGTTTGGCCAGTTGGCTTCTGGCCATCTGTGAAATTCAGAAAGAATGAGCCCAAGTTTCTAACTTTACTGCCTGCCCTTACACAGAATTCTCACCATGGATGGGCTCATTGAGGACATTAAGCGACGGCGGTACTATGAAAAGCCTTGTCGCCGACGACAGAGGGAAAGCTATGAAACCTGCCGGCGGATCTACAACATGGAAATGGCTCGCAAGATCAACTTCTTGATGCGAAAGAATCGGGCAGACCCATGGCAAGGCTGCTGAGGCCTGTGGATTGTAGGCCCAGTATGAAAATCCCTCTCCAGCTGTCTCCTTCCTATCTCAAACCTCATTTTTCCTCCCCTTTTTTATAATAATAAACTCAATCACATATATGCAAGAAGGCCTGCATATATAGAAGTAATCCTGTAGTTACCAATGGACCCTCTCTTTTATTAAGTGAAAGAGAAACTGAGTCAAAAAAAAGAATTTAGAATAGAATATATTACCAAGGGCTAGTGGGAGGGGAATTACCGGCAACAGAGCGTTTCAGGATGGGATGGTGAAAAAGTTCCAGAGACAGATGGTGGTGATACACAACAATGTGAATATACTTAATGCACTTAAATGGTTAAAATGGCAAATTTTGTGTATGTTTAGCTATAGTATTTAAGTAGTCTAGGAGAGGTGAGAAGCTTTTCTAAAATATAGCAGAATAGATCTATGATTTTTTTACCCGATTCTTACGAAATCCAAATCAAGACCTTATTATTGGAAAAGCACCTGTTACTCTTTTTTTTTTTTTTTTACTTTGGTCTTGGTGCCCTACTTCTATTGTAAGATTCTAGTGTTGGATCCATGGCTGATTTTGGGCATAACTATGTTTCCATAGAACTGAATTATCTGCTTCTCCTCGTTTCTGGGAATTCTGCGGCAATTTTGCCTCACATTTCTCCCTATCACTAACAAACTGATCTATACAACAAGATTTTCTAGTAGCCTATAACTATTCTTTTTTTTTTAATTTTTTTTTAATGTTTATTTATTTTTGAGAGAGGGGCACAAAGCAAAACAGGGAGTGAGCAGAAAGGGAGACATAGAACCGGGTTTCTGAGCTGTCAGCACAGAGCCTGATAAATTAAACTCATGAACTGTGAGATCATGACCTGAGCCAAAGTCAGACTGCCACCTCAACAGGGCACCCAGGCTACCAAATCATTCTTAATGAAACAACAGGAGCCTGGGAGAGGATCCATAGACACCAGTTCCCAAGTCTATTCACATTTGTAATTTACCCAAAGCTCTCCACATCTTTTCAAGTTCATGTTCAATGTATTATTGTTATCTGGGCTTGTGGTATAACACAAAAAAAAAAAATAGGGCTCCTGCTGGGCAGAAGTAGCTGGCTTTATTTGATTTTTTCCCTATCCCCTTCCACTTAACCTCCTTATCTCCACTGTGTTTGTGACTCCACTTTTTACCTGTAGTAAAGCCAGGTGAGCAGGAAGGGGGGCCATGTGTGCCAGAATGAAAGGTAGCAGATGCCTCCAGACTCCTGAGGACCAACTGGGGATGGGTTGAGAGGAGCAACAAATTACAGATTGGTTTTACAGCTCCAGGAGCCTGGGATGTAAGGAAGTTTATAGGCTCTGATAACAGGTTCGGGAGAACAAAGAGGTGAGTTTGAGTTAGATATATTTTAAATCCAACAAGAGGATGGTCAGGTAAAGGAATTGGGTGGGTAAGCAGGAGAAACAGATGGAGCTCAATTTTATGGACCCTTACACCCATTTAATAAACATAGTTTCTGCCTTCAGAGCTGTCGAGGGAGATGTCTGTATAAATAATAAAATGGTGAATGAAATAATCATAACAGGTATACACAAAATAAATGATATTCTCTAAAAAGATATAAACCTGAGAGGTGGCATGGCTCAAGGAAGAAAGATGAGGGAAAATTTCGAAGGTTGGCAACTTGGGGTGCCTGGCGGCCAGCTGGGCCATCTGGATTCTGGGGCTCAGGTCATGATCTCACAGTTCAGGTTTCAAGCCCGCCGGACTCTGTGCCTGACAGCTACGCTTCAGCCTGTTTCTCAATATCTCTGCCTCTCTGCCCCTCCTCTACTGTACTCATTTTCTATCAAAAAATAAACATTGGAAAACAGTGATTTAAGCAGAAGGTTACAACTGGAAGTAGTAGTAGCATTCAGGGTCAGTGCTAGCTTGAGTAAAGATAAGACTTGGTATCAGCCAGTATTCAGGGAGTAGTCTGTAAAGTAGTGTGGTTAGAGCATGCATGGGAAAATGATGGGTAGCTGTTATTTAATGTCTCATTTGTATCATTAGTGTATCATTGAGCCTCTTTCCCCAAGAAATTCAGGGTCTCTCAGGCTCCAGACTGCATTCAATCAGTTAATGCGATGGGATTGCTTTTGCAACTAAGGAACATGTAGAACCCACCCCTGGTGATTTATTTTTTCCTACTACAAATGACTATTCATCTAGAAGATTCTGAAATGATCCTTGGTTGAAAATCAATGCCACAGAGTAGAGCCACTCTTTTTTTTTTTTTTTTTTTGTTAATTTATTTTTTGGAAAGGAGAGAATGCGAGCAGGAAGGGCTGTGACAGAGAAAGAGAGAATCCCGCAAGTTTCACCGTTAGTCAGCAGCAGGTTTATTTATTTTTTTTAATTTTTAACCTTTATTTATTTTTGAGACAGAGAGAAGGAATGGGAGAGGGGCAGAGAGAGGGAAGACACAGACCGAAGCAATTCCAGGTTTCGAGCTATCAGCCCAGAGCCCACGCTGGGCTCTCAACCCTGGACCATGAGATCGCGGATCTGAGCCGAAGTCGGACGCTAACCGACTGAGCTACCCAGGCTTCCACGCGAAAGCAGGGTTTAAAACTTCACAAACCGTGAGGCCGCGACTCCGAATCAAACCGAGCGCCCGATGCTACACCACCGAGCTACCCAGGCAGTGTTCTTTACAGGACTCTGTCACATCCCTTAGTGTGCTGTGGCAGAAAAGATTGAAAACATAACTTTGACCATAAACTTCCCAAGAGCAAGGACTATAATCATTTTTTTATATCCACAAATTCAAGTCTCGTAAGGCAGTTAATGCTATATAACCACCATTCTCACATATAGACTAGTTGTTTGGGCTTAAATAGCTTCCTCGGCCATCTGTGATAAATTGAATGAGCCTAAGTTTCTCAATCCTACTGCCTGCCCCTTAAGGACAGACTCCTTCACCATGGATGGGTCTATTGAGAATATTACACAAGGCCTATGGAAAAGCCTTGTCAGCCGGGAATGACAGAGGGAAAGTTGCAGAAACCCGCCGGCGAGATCTACAACATGGAATGGTCTCCGCAAGATCAACTTTTGATGCTAAAGAATCAAGCAGACCCATGGCAAGGCTGTTTGAGCCTGTGGATTAGAAAATGTATGAAAATCCCTCCAGCTGTTCCTTCCTATTCCAAACCCTTATTTTTTCTCCTTTATAATAATAAACTAACTCATGCTATATGCATGGCCTGTATATATAGAAGTAATCCCAGAAGTCACTAATGGACCCCTTTTTATTAAGTGAAAAGAGAAACTGAGTCAAAAAAAAGAATTTAGAATAGAATATATTACCAAGGGCTAGTGGGAGGGGAATTACCGGCAACAGAGCGTTTCAGGATGGGATGGTGAAAGTTCCAGAGATGTGGTGATAATAATAACAATGTGAATATAATTTAATGCATTAAATGGTTAAATGGCAAATTTTGTATGTTTAGTTTATAGTATTTAAGTAGTCTAGGAGAGGTGAGAGAAGTTTTAAAATATAAGAATATAGATCTATGATTTTTTTATTCATCTACTAACCAAATCATCAAGACCTTGCTGGAAAAGCACTGTTTACTTTTTTTTTTTTTTTTTAATTTTTTTTTTTCTCAACTTTTTTTTTATTATTTATTTTTGGGACAGAGAGACAGAGCATGAATCTGGGAGAGAGGAGACAGGAATCGAAACAGGCTCCAGGAATTGAGCCGCCCAGAGCCTGATCGGCCTAACCCATCTGGACTGCGAGATCGCGACCT